TTACATTTAATTTCTTTAGGGAGGATATGAAGGGCTATGAGAAACCTGTGAGGGGTAAAAATGAAGGCTGGGTTATTTTCACAAACCTATTCGTCAGGTTTGGGAAGGAAACCGTGGTATGTTAGTGATGTGATTGTGAGAAAGCACAGGCTCAGCTCTCGGCAGCATGAGGATTCCACTTCAGTGTGGTATCAGTAAAAAATGTTCATGTTTGTGCATAAACCAGACATGTAGAAAACTTACCCTGAATATTTCCTTATCAGCATTTCACTGTTGTGTTGACAGGATTTCTTACTGGTTGTGCTCTGCTTTAGTACAGTTCAGTTTTAACATAAACAGACGGAATAAAAACATCTGCGTAGAAATTGTTTTTTAATGGAAAATCCTTTTTAACAAAGGTTTATTTTATGTTTCTTGTAATATAATATTGTTCTATGCTATATAACCCAATATTCTTTGTGAGTCCAATATATTTCTTGCTTAGTTAAAAACCATACAGTATTTGTTCTACCTGGTACCTAAAAATGAGATTTATATCTGTATTTTTCTTTGTAAAAAACTTCACTGTTGCAGCAACTACACTGATACGAAATCATTAAAACCAATTTCCTTTTTTGTTCCTATTACAATAACATTTGGTGGGTCTGGTTGCCTTCAACGAGGTAATATATTCTATTACCACTTCTGTTTCTAAATTATCTATCGACTTAATGGCACTATAAAGATTCAAGCAAAAATCTGGAAAGGCCAGAACCACCATAAGCAGCCAAAGATTGCACAAAAATGGCAACTATCAAAATAAGAGCAACTGAACAAACCCAAGGCCAGACTGACCCTTTACCAATTTATGACCCAATTGTTTGTTTCTTCCTTTCTTTAACCTGTAAATATCCATTTGAGTTGTTTTTTTCTAAACCAAGACATAATATGGCCCCTGACTCGAATCATTATCTTGCTGACCTCCTGCTTGCATATACTGTATATTACTGTGTAGATATTAAAAAAAGGCATATAGAATAAACATAAGATCACTGTTAAATGTATCACAGACAAAACCATTGTTTCCATTTGGTTAGACATTTTGTACGAATTCGCTACAGATATATAGGTATGGAAAAGTTAGCATTTCTGTAGAAAGTATTATGCAACTCAGCGCTTACATGGCTCCCTCTAGCAGCAATACATTGCTTGGAGCAGGCAGTTGAAAGGACCCACTGTGTCTCGGCCACTCACTTCGCCTCAGTGAAGAGGCGCACAAGGTCCAGAGGGCGAAGAAACATCTCAAGGCGCACATCTTGACTTTGGATTTCTTTTTTGTGTATGTAAAGCTTGAAGACGCACTTGTGCAATGGTGCCATGGCTATGAGGACTGTATAGGCATTTATCAAGAGAAAGGTAAAAAAGTATGCTCACCTTTAAAGGCAAAAAAACAACTCTGCACTCAGAATATGCACACAGTCTGCTTGTGTAAGTAGGAGCCTTAATTAATTCCAATGTCCTTCATAGTTTGCAGAGTAAGGCTACGCACTAGCCTAGCCAGCCAGACAATTACAGGGAGCGTAATTCAGTCTGCTAAACCTCCGTTGACTCTGGCCTGATCTTGCCAAACCAATCACAGCCCAGGAGGCAGGAACTTAAAGATGCGTTACTTCAGCACAGGAATTACCCATAAGGCAACAGCAAGACGGTGACCACAACACCGCAATGTTGCAATGAAAATTAAGAACATGCTAGAGGGCACACATTATATCGTCATATTTTTTTGCAGAAACAGCAGAAATCCTTCATTGGAGAATTTATTCGACTTCTTGATATGTTTCACTAACTACACAATTATAGAATTATAGAAACGGAGCATGTTGCTTGGAGTTTTTGCGTCAAATCCGTAGTTAAGTGATGGTTCTGATGTTAGTCCTTCCTTTGAAATCGAGCTCTACCAGCTCTTTACCAGACTGATATGATGTATGCATGGTATGTCAGTCTGGCTGGCCAGGCTAGCTAAGCACATAAAACTGACCCTATATGACAAAAGGCTTACTGGAATAAAAGTCATTGGAGCAGATTCTTGCCAGTTTTTAAAGATTTGTCCCTGCAGTTGATGTTTCCAATCCACACTAGTCATTTTTTAGCACTTAACTCCTCCAACTGTGATCCTATTTTATGCTTATCAGGATGTAGTGATAACTAAGCTTAAAATAACATAAAAATAATAAAATTAGTCAAACTAACTCAGTCATTGCTAAATTGATTGTACCTATCAACATGGCAGTTAGTGACCGATGAAATCCACTTATGTGATTTCACATGTGCAATATGTGTTAAAAACCTTGGTCCATATTGAAATAAAACCCTTTGAAATGTATAAAATGTTTAATATTTAGCTTTAGTATACAATAAAAATGTCTGACAAAAAGCTCAAGTAACATTGAAGCAGCACCCTGTCAGTTTTAATACTTTGGTCCAAGGCTGTAGAAATAATTTTGCAGGAATGAATGATGGTGTAAAAAAATAAACGAGACAAAGCAAAGGCGTCACATATGGTTTTTCATGACCAAGGCACATCTATTTCCTGCCTGTACAAGTATTTGGCTGCCGTAACCACACTATAGTATTTGGCAGCAGTTGAGGCACCCTTTCTTTCCATCCTTTTGTTCACTGTATTAGTGGGCCTTCCTTTGTTTCCCCGAACAGGGTTAGATTAATGCACTGTACCCTTTTATTCAGTGTTGTACAAAAGAAAAGCCTGTCGCAGAATCCGCAGGGAGCTCTGATGGTTGCACTTCGACAGAACAGATGACAACAGCCTTTCATCAAAGTGAACATACTCTTTTGCTTGTTAACCACAGTACAATCAGTTTCTGATTCATATCAGCCATATATACATATATACCAGGAATATTTCTTGCAAAAAGTGCATGCTTCCTTAATATGAACTGTTGTTAGAAAAAGCAAGCACATAAACTGTTTTGGCATGACACAACGCACCTTGAGGCATACTGTGCTCTATAAGATCTGAGCATTGGAATGTATTTAAGAAAGAACCAGCAGCTTTGTCTCTCATTACTCAGTCCTCCAGAAGCACCACCCAAAGCCTGCTTCTCATCTCCTGCAGTGCGACTCAACTTATTCATCCAGAGACACCTTTAACCCACCTCAAATTCTCTCTCTCACAGCAGAGTTAGTAGAAATCAAAGGAATTTTTTATTTTTTTTTATCCACAATTGTTCAGGCCAGCCTGCAGTTCTTTCAGGATTTAATTTTATTGTTTTATGCAAAGTCTTCAAAACTGTACTTAATGGGAAAAGAATCTTTCTGGAGTGTGACCTCCATAATGAAATACCAAAATAGTTAATACTTTGTCATAAAAAGTGGCTCTTCTAAAGGCTGATTTAAAATAGAGGTGTGTTATTAGAAGGAGTTGGGATTACTCAAGAGAGTCTGGCTGCAGACCTGCACTGTCAGGACCCAGACTTGCACTGTCAGGGCTCTGTGTTGCAGACCAGCAAATGGGGTCTCCTGCACTATCAGGACTGGGAGTTTATTCAGGAAGTTGTATTCGAAGCCTTCGGGAATTGCGCACAGCACATGTTTGCTGCCAGATTAGTTTATAACAGTGTTAAACTGAGCATAGCAGCAGTTTAAATTATACAGTACGCAAACATCCTCATAGGACAACAAAGCTCCATTGTTGTTTAGAAAATGTCTTATAGGCCAAATACCCTTTTCTATTCTAGAGACCTATATCTATACCTAGATCTATTAACCTAAAGCAATATGCATGGTATGGTTGTTACATGTCGGATACGCTGGTCATTGACAGTCAGTCCCTGGACTGGCATTGCTATCACTGCCCCTACGTAGTTAGGGACTAATGCAGATTTCTCACTGGGATCAGCTTCATAGTCATACTAAGCCACTTCCAGAGGCGATGGTATCGGGGGACGGTCATTTAGGAAGGGGGATGATTGTTAAGATTTTTTTAAGAAGGAGGATGCCATCCCCCCTCATTCCCCCTCAACTCGAGTACTGCACATATCTACTATTGCAGATAGGAGTTTGGTGGGGAGTAAAATTGTGCATCTACATAACTTTCCAGCATTACAACACCTGTTTGTGAAAGGAAACTAGCTTAATGGGGAGTTTATCAATGTTAGCATTTACTTTAGAAAAGCTTCAAATCAACTTCACTTTTACTTTGAAAGTCTCTGAAAAAACTTCTGGTTATAACAGCGCAGGAGACCTCACAATGCAGCCCTGCAGCCAGGGTCCTGACAGTGCAGCTCTAAGTTCTGACAGTGCAGGTCTGCAGGCAGACCTGCCTCTCAGATTTTTGAGCTTTGCACCTAATGTGATATGGTAACAGGAGGGTTTTTGACAAGTTTTCAATCAAGTAAACTGAGATTATACTGAAGTTATGTTCCCAATTTTTGGCACTTGTTTTATTCAATCTCTGGTTCAGGTTGGAGAAGCTTCTGTTCTCATTGGCTCAGCATGTTAGACTTAGGCAACTTTTATTGTTATTTTGTTTACACGAGTGAATATAAAACAAAATTTTGTTTTGTACAGCTTTTAGAACATTTCCAGCAGTACAGCAGTGATCAAATGTAAACAGTGTGGGAGAAAAAAAACATGGTGCAAAAATCTTTTTACCACAGCTTCTCAAGTATGCACCCCTGTAAAAGCTTTTTTATACTTACTAAATTAAATTAATTTAAAACTGTATTTTTGTGTTTATGCAGGTTATCTATGTCTGATAATAACATGTGTAAGGGGAACTGAAAAGTATAACTTTGACAAAAAAAGTAATACAGCAAATGTTGCATACTGGTAAATACATTTAGATCCAAACATAGGCTATAACTTTATAGTTTGAAAATTAACACATTTGAAAGTATGAAAATACTTTCCTTTAGCATTGCTACAGTACAAGTTTACGATCACAGGTTGTATAATTTTTCCAAAAACGTGCCTTAACACTCTTAATTTCCCTCCGTTTCCAGATGATGACATTGAGGATGAGAAGGAGCAGCTGAAGGAAGGTGAGTGACAGAATATTTCATGGTTGCCTTTTCACCTTAACACCTCCATTAAAGCAGACAGAGAGTGAGTGAGCACCATAGCTTTGGCTTCTGTCAGTGTTTTGCAAGGTTTTATGCGGCACTCTAAATTGAATGTTTATTCATCTGCTGACAAGCCGACTCCCTGACCTGACTCATCTTTGTGTAAAATACTTAATGTCAGGTGCGTTACACTACAAGAACCGTTATCCAGAGCTAATTCCCCGAAAACATTCCCTTCATCCGGCTTAGGGCTACAATGCCTTTAGACCACCTAAAGCGGGTGACAAAGAAACTGCGGATTGACATCCCTCCACAGCATAAGCCAGATGATAGCACAAACACAACTGTCAGTGCATGATGCTTTTATCTCCAACACATCATGTGGTGCCTAGCCTGAAACTCCCAGATGTTGCTTATCGGGATAAACTATTGACATTCATCTGTGCACTGATGTCCTGAATAAGCAGTGGCACAAACAAAATGCCTCATGGAATTGTGTGTGTGGTTAAACAATAGACTCAGAACAGTTTAGCTATGAGTTTGTTGTCACTCTGGAAAAGAGTTATTTCAATGGAAAAACAGCTTTCTGCCTCCAGCAGTTTGCTCTCTGGGGTATGTTGCACCTAATGGCATTTTCTATCGGGGAGAAGATACAAATTTGACCACTGCCTGTGCTTTTTAAAATCTCATTGCACACGTAAACCCAACAAGGCAGAGAACCACATTAGTTTTGCTGTCTGTTAGAGAAAGTGGCCACATTACACTAAATGGGTAGCTCGGGGTGCTATCAAAATGTTTTTCTTCCCAAAGTCACTCCCATGATTTGCCAATTACACACATCTGTGTTTTCAAAGTGAATCCATTTTATGACAAACATAAAAGAGCTGTTTCATAAGTGCACTGTAAAATGTGATATTTCAAAGTGAAACTGTGCGCACATAATGGCTGCATCATAAAGATTTGGCTCAGACCAAATGCATGTGAGATTTTTAGTTTAAACAGGCTATGTTATTTCTAAAGAGCTCCTCACCAGCTGTTTTACACTGCATACTCCATAAAAACATAACATTAGACTGTAAAAAGCCAGCTGAAACAATTCCTGATCATTCCTAGCTCTCTTGTGTTATCATACCATTTCTGTCCTATTCCAGTTTGGCCTTGTTTGATTTCCCTCTTTATGGATGCCAAGAATGGGCTTTTCATTCCACTCCATCAGCCCAAGTTTGAATCAGTCAGCCTGGAACCGACTCACAGCTTCGAAAGACTTTTATGCTAACATGGAGTGGTGCTTTTGGCTCACACAGCGGTCTGGAGATGGGCTCAAAGCCTCATTCTTTCCTCCTCTCCCTCAGGAGTCTCCTTTTTAATGCGTTTTTTTAGGCAGGTAAAACCACAGACGAGAGCTGTAACGTTTCTCAGAGGCATAGCTACCTTAAGCAGCCAAGAGAGTGTTGGTATCAAAACTCTGTGTTAAGATGTACATTTTTTTTATTATAAACAAAACTGTACTATATTGTTAGTTAAATTGTTCAAAAATGGTAAATACTTTCTAGAAAATCTTCAGATGGATGCTCAGTATGAGAGATTGCTGCGAAAGTGTTGGGAAATAACAACAAAGCTTTGGATGTAATTGTGAAAACATTCTTTTTCCCACAATTCATACATTTTTGAAATTTGTACAGCAGGTGAAATTATTAACAGAGCAAAATATTGGTAGACTAGTAAGGCTAGTGAAACAGCTGGACAGCTATAAGTGTGCTGCAACCTTTTTTGTTAAATAAAAAAATCTCAACTAAATAACGTACAGTATTGTTGAATACATCAAGCACATCTGCTGCAAGTTTATGTTTAGCTTTTACTGTTCAGCAACTAATAAATATCTAGATCTATCCAAGAGAAATGCCCTAAGAAGCCTTTTGCTACATCTATCCACACGGACTACCCCAAAAATCCTTTTTTTTTATTTATTTAATGGTGGCTAAAACTTTTGGTGACAGAAAACAATACGCGCTATAGCTCTCAGGTTCAATTTCTTTTTTTTTTTTATTTGACTTTGCCACATATTTTACCTTCTCTTAACAAAAACCATTTAAGAGAACCAAATTTATCTGTGATTGCAAAATGTTTGGAAAGCAGATAGCAACTAATGATAACTTTTAAAGTTTTATTTTACATGGAACATTAAAGCTTAAATCGCCTGTCAGTATGATTAGAACTTCAATGCATAAAAACGTTAATACTGTAACCATTTGCAGAGATGCACGTATGGTTGTCACGATACTAAACTTTTCAGCTCGATATCGATACTAAGGAAAATATTCGATACTCGATACCATTTTCGATACTACAAGGATAAAAACAAAGACTCCAAAAGTCTACAGAAATATTTTCATTAATAAATAAAATATAATAAATAAACACAATAAAGGTTGTATGCTGTGCATAATATTAAGCAAGCTTGATAAAAAACTTATAAAATTCAAATTAAGTGTTCCTTCCTTGGCTATGCTTTGCACACCTAACAGTGACACTAGCCAAACCAGTTAAGAAACAAAAATAATTCTCAGCAGCTGCACCTCTTACAAAAAAAAAGTCTGAAACTGAAAAGAGCACAGAATTATTTAATCACACAGTGTTCAGAAAGTGCATTGTCCTCTATTCTGCACTTTAGATGAATGACTGCTTAGGTGCCACTGGTGACGGCACTGTATCGATACTTTTAAAAACGAGTATTCTATCCGGATACAACATTTCAGTATCAATACTTTTTTGAGTTTCGATACTTTTGACAACCCTAGATGCACGTAAAGCGAAGCAATTTTCAAGGAAATCTAAGCCCATCTATTTATTTTTAATTATTGTTTGTAAAATCTGTTTGTACTCTGCTTCCGAACTACAGTAAGTGTGGAAAATTAGATTTTTATAGTGGTTTTAGGAATTATTTGTTTTTTCAATATCTGGGGAGTATTCGGACAAGTGAGATGTAAAAACACCCCTGTTGCTAAAGATACGCTATAGAACATTGGTACTTCATATATGTGGGGCTGATGTGTTTTTGGGTAAAATATTAAAGTATGTTCAGTTTAAGAAAAATAAAAAAAAACTATTGAATTTTGGATTTAGTGGTAGGGTTATTTTATTTACCCATTTCAATACGAGTGACAGTTTACATCGATAGGCCCTGACAAAGAGTTGCATCTTGTTGCTTTTTGTGGAAAGAGATCCCACATCATTGAAACACCACATGTCGTTTTTTCTTTACAGAAAGCATACCTCCATCAACACAGTCCACAACCAACGAAGAGACGGAGGAAAGCGAGAAGGGTAAGCTTGTTACTAAAGCTCTGTGTCTGCTTGTATCAGTTTTTTTTTTACTCCAACTCTTTTAATGTTGAGCATGCCAAGCATATTTACTTGTAGTGGGAGCATTTCACATTGACATGTGTTTACAGAAAAAAAAAAAAGCACGTATAAACTAATGGAATTTGTTTTTGCTTGGTAATCTCTTGCTCTCTGATACCTACCTCCTCTTTGGGGAAATGAATAGAGGATGAAGCTTGGTCCTTTTTCTTTCAGCCAAACCTGTTTAAGAAGCCATTATCTGGCTATTCTGCAGTTTCAGCCCCTTTGGATGTATAATGTTGAAACAATTATAGGCTTCTCCAATACGATGGACCAAAGATAATTAGAATCCAACACTGGACGGTGTTAGTAGGCAATTAAAATCGTACACCATCAATTTTTCTTCAAGCCTTACGGTTGGAGGAACTTTTTGAAACTAACAGTCATGTTTGTTTTCTCTGGGGAACCTGTTCCTCTGGGTCCTCTAGGATATTGCAGTCACATGAATAGCGCCAATACAATTGTTGCTGTGAAACAAAGCATGCTAATTTCTCTATGTACAATACCTTTTTTTTTAATCCACAGCTGTAAATCAGAATTATTCAAAAATTCAATCACCAGCATTAGAAGGGCATAAGTATTTAGTATTAATCTTTAGAAATCCTTATTTATCAGGCCCTGCAGCTTAATAGTAACTAATCCATTCACAAAAGGCCTTGGCACAGCTTTCTAGCTTGGGAACAGTCAGTCCTTGAGACAACCTCTCTCAGAGGAAGAGAATCAAATGATTTTGTTCTGCCTGCACTGTAAAGGTTTGGTTTGGTTCAATGTAGCTCATAGGAGGGATTAATCATAGGAAACGCTTAGATGTCAAGATACCACACAGCAGAGGAAAAGTGAGCTGGAAACTACACTGTCAGCTGTGTGGGACGTGCACTGTAAGATGCTGTAGAACAACAGAGAGGAAGCTACCTTCTTTGAAAACACAGTTGTATTTTATCGTTTGCTGTCTGTTGCTGGCTTCTGCCTTGACATCATCAATCTGGATCTTTTATTTTGAAATACATTTTTACACTGCAGGAAAACTTGTACCTGTCAATATATCACAGTGGCTCTATCACATCCATCATTCTCCTCAAGGGGTAAACTCTTACCTTTTACCAGGTCATCCATTAAAGTATTGAGGTATTCTTCATTGTTCCTTTCAGAGTAACTCGCTGTAGGACGACTGTAGGTTATTATAGGGCTGTCCTGTTTCCTTGGTTACATAGACAACACCTATAAAATAACTTTTTCACCTTACAAGCAAAGGCCTTTCTGACCATCCTGGGTTAAAGGAAGAAACTGGTAATAATAAAAACCCAGCAAACTATGAAATTCAGCTACATAAAGAACACAGAAGAAATCCAGTCAGAGTCTGAATGGGTCTGATAGAAAGTCTATAAAATGAGCTAAAGATGGCGGGAAGGTCTTTCAAACCAGAGGACAGAGAAAATCACAGGTGTTACATTTTCAGAGTATCTCTGGAAAGATCCAGGAAGCTGGGCAAAAATTAATTAAAGGTTTTAAACCCTAAAACCTTATAAAAATCCTACCCTACTCCATTTATTTTTATAAAGGGCATAAATAACCTTTCAACATGGCATTTTTGGTAGTGTACTTTTTTAAGTGAGACAGTTTTAAATTGTTGTATTATTTTGTGAGATATATTTCTCACTTCTTATTAAAAAAATATGGCCTTTATCATATTTTGCGTTTAATTTCCCTTGTGAATGTTATGAATGGTTGTAATGTAATGTATTCAGTGATATTACTGTAGTCTAAAAAAGGCTGCCTCTGATTCCAAATCTGTAGTAAAACTATAATATATCCTGTTTCAAGTATTTTTCAAATACTAAACATGCTGCAAGAACTTTGTGCCTAATGAGAATTTTTCCAGAATGTTATCACGTCCCCTCATGATCCAGTTTAAACATATAAGGACCAGTACTGTATATATAAAACTGTAACTGGAGCGTGTAACAAAAGTAATTTTCCTCTGGGATTATTAAAGTATTTCTGATTCTGATATACTGTGCTTATATCCACAAAAATATTTTGATAGGGACTCTTTAAATTTTCTCCTTCTCGTTTTTCTAGTCATCAGCTTCTGGTGTATATCTCAGCAATGTTTGACAAATACTCTGATTAGAATTGAAAGTGCTTCTATATATTTGCTTCTTATTTAAACATAGAATTGGTTTTCTTGGATTGTCATCAGGATTTAGGTCAGACCATTTCAGACCCCTAATGGTTCCCTGCTTTATCCATTACAAAAGCAGTTTTCATGTCTGTTTGTGATCATTGTCCCGTTCAAATGCCCAGCTGTGTCAAACTTTCAGCCATTTAGTTGTTGATTTAATTACCAGCTTTATTAATCAACTTCCTTTGTGCAATGCACCAGTACCCACTGGGAGTCAACATGGACCCTCAGCCTGATGTTACCACCTATATGCTTAGTAGTCTATTCTCTAGTGTTCTTATGTCAGAAATTTTGACATTGACTCCTCTGATCTTTTACTGCCATTGTGGCCAAAAATTTTAGTCCAGCTTTAAAGGAGCATAGCACCGTTTCCTATACTTTTGCTGACGTTTTTACCCTCTAACCACAAGCTGAAATTACACTAGTGTTCTGTATGCGTACTGTATGGGAGAATGAAAGTGTAGTCTTTTGTTTTAAGGAGTAACGTCACCTGAGGTAAGAAAGAGTTTTTAAAAAGTTGCCTGGTGGAGACTCAACAACGTAGCCAGGTGGATGAGACTGAGCAGCTCATCAAACACATGTACACCCAGAATCGAACCCAAGTCACTCTCTTATTAACTGACTAATGGAGCTAAAAGAGGCAACTACTGTAAATAGAGGAAATGTCATTTAACATTTTGGGCAATTGGAGCGGCAGCTTACTTGATGGACCTTTGAGCTGGATGGTATTTTATACGCATTTTAAAGCAGGAGCCTGTTTTTTGGTCAACATCCTATAAGTTGATTTTGAATATGAGTTTCAGCATATCTGAGTCTATTATGGGTTAAAAACTTGGGCACTTGAATTTTAAACAGAGCACGGATCCTGGACACACATCAGAACTGAACTTGGTATGGAGAAACCAGATTCACAGGATTTAAATGAACTATACCACTTTTAATGAGAAAAATTGACAAATAGCAGGAGAAATTCTACAAAATTATGTTACTTGCCATAAACCATTTATTGTCTCTGCAACCTTCAAATAGACATAAAAAAGTAAATTGATAGGGTTGATAGGGTGAATGTACTGTATGGTTTTTACTTTGTGTGGGTTTTAAATTATATAATATAACAAATATTGCACAGTATTTCAATTTCTGTTGTAATATTTTATCATCCTTTCTAATGTTTACGAGACTATATTGTACTATACCACAAAACAATAATATAAGTCATTTTAAGGGCATAAATAATGGAATGCATGCAGCAAATGAATGAAAACCCAAGTAATCTAAGGAATTTGAAAAATATTGTCTTAGATCAACTATGTTTGTGTGTCCAATGAGCTGTGCTGTGATATAATCTACATGTAACATCAGAACAGCATGCATACACTGCAGGTTATATAAATAAAAGTGGGGGGAAGGAAATGGTGGGCCACCCACAGGCGCAAATGCTGGCACAGAGGTCTAAAGTGAAATAAAATCTCTTTTAGTACACCTCACAGTGTCTATTATCTGATGTCAGATTGGAATTAGTGAGATTAGTAGATGTCACAGGGCAAGACACAGTAAAATGTGAAAGTGGAGCCAGAAATCAATGCCTGGCATTGGGAGCATGCTGAGAATAACCTAAGGTAGAGAATGGGGGTTGGTGGTGAAGGATCACACATCTCTCTACTGGTGTGGATGGATATGTAGATTAATAACACTGTGTGGACTGACAGCCAGCCTCTCTATGGGATGCCATGCTTTACATTGTGGCTGCCTGTCAAACGTTGCTCACAAGCGAACTTGCACTTTGCTTGCAGACAGATTTCACATGCAGAAGGTCTCAGAATGATTGCTGTAGGTCATCTAAGAGTTGTTTTAACTTTTACATGTCTCATGAATTTTTTAGGATCTTTTTTATGTCTTTTGCTTCAGTGGTTTTAATCAAAGAAACAACTGACAAGTCTATGGGGTGGAACATGATGAGTTAGATCACAGTGCTGTGAAAACGTATCACTCTGAAGTACGTTTTATATCATCAAGTGATAATGTGAGTAAATGCAGTATAAAATGCATTTTCTATAATGATTTAAATATTTGGGTAAAAGTGATCTAAACCTAAATTTAATTACCATCCTTCATTAAGGCAGCATTAATTATAATTTTCACCTTAAAAAAAATCCTCTTCTACAATAAGTACCTGTGACAATAACTCTAGTATTTATGAAACGACTGAGAGGTATCTTATCTCCTCCTACTGGCTCTGATCGGAAAACCACACTTGCAACTTTCTGTGTCTCCGACCTCAGTAGGAGTTTCGTGGCTTTGTCATTTTCACGGCTTGATAAACAGCTTTACGGCAGCCCAGTATAAACCCACTGGCTTCAGTTACAACACATTTCACTGCACTACCTCCAGGTGATTATCAAATAGCTTTTTGTTTAAGAGGTTTACGACGTGTCGCAGCCAGCATAAAAGGCAAAGAAAACCTCTGTCCGAAGACCAAAGGAATAGAAATCATGAATCGGATCAGGACTGGAATCTAACAAGGGTGAATTTGGGCAAGCATTTACTCCTCAAAGAGAAACAAGGATAAAAACAGATCCAAACCTGGCATTGTTTTACTGGATTCATAAATGCTCTATTGTAACATAAAAAAAAATGATTTTTGGTGTGCAGCTACTCTATAAAACATGGAGAGGCTGAATCATCTTATGAGAGCAATTAAAAAACAAGTCACTTGAGACAGCCTTATATAAGGGTCATTTTTCCAGCAAAAGAAGGCTGCTTTACACTATTTTACATTAGATAATGTAAAATACTACCCACCTCTGCAGACATTTGATTGTGATCTGCATCTTCCAGCTGGTTAAGTGTAAGCACTACAGCTGTCAGTGTTTGCAACAGTACTGTTTTCAAATGGTCCCGCAGAGGGAGCATGACACAATATGACTTAGTGCTGTTATAAATCGTAATTTTTAGCAGATATAATAAATAGGGTTTCACTGGCTGCGTCAAGGAAAAATTACTACTAGAAATTAAAAAATTTGAAACTTGACCAGTATCTGTCTAACAATATAAAGTGTGCCAAAAACTCTCCCAGCAAACTTTTCGGCCATGAATAAATGAAGAATATTGTTTTCATATGATCTTTTTTATCAATGAAGAAAAGCTATCCAAACCAAGGAACTCTGCAAAACGTTTTTCAGGACAATAAACACATGTTGCATTGTCAGTTCTCACAAAGAGATAGGTTTATTAGAAGATCATTTTCTAGTCTTTTGGTGAACCACAATCAGAGCTTTTGTATGTGAAGGGAGAAAACATGGAAAATGTTTACATTTGCTGTAAGCTCCTTCCACATTGACAGGTCAACAAGGGGGTCACAAAAAAACTTAGAACAACATCTAAAGCATGTCAAGCCACACTTACTGCAGTGAAGGTCAATATTTTTGTTTCAACAGCAAGAACAAGACCAGGAGAGTTTTTAAAGACATGCTTTTTCACAACGCTATATTAATTTATGCATACTTAATATATATCTTCACTGTTGAATAAAAATACCACTTTGACAACCTTGAACGTATCATCAGCAGTTGTTTACTCAGCGGTCACACAAGTAGGACGCACCAGGTATGTTGTATATCAGGAACTGCATTATTAATGTCCTTGTAATCCTGCCACCTCTTATGTTAACATAAATAAATCATTCAGAGTTAGCATGTTTTTGTGGTTTTCTCTAAAATACGCCCCTGCTTTCTTTTTTATCTACAAGAGTGCAATAAAGTGCTTAAAAGTATGTTTTTTTTACTACTACTATCCCTTAAATCTGGTTTCAGGAATGTATTGACAATGGATATGCTGTGGTGTTTTCTGAAGCCTTCTATGTTAAGTATGTAAGAAACTGATCCACAGCTGAGACAGTGTCATATAGTATGCATTGGCTACTACAATGCTGCCACCTGCTGTTAGGAGCGTTTGGGTTAGGTTTTAGCCTACTTGTGTATGTCTGGGTTTTCATTTCTAACTTTGATCCATAAACAATCACATCAACCCTACAGAGAATCTTTTCTGTTTGACATTGCAAATGTGTGAGTGTCTGTGGGTTTTTGTGTGTGTGAATCCACAATCTGTCCCTTTGCATCCTTTATCACAAATAGAATATTGTTGCATTCAATAAGCCAAACACAAATGATCAAATAACATGGAGGAAATTACTTTTGGTACTTTGACGTATCTGATATGGTTAATATAACTCACTTTAGAAAAGCATGAATATCTTTTCTTTTGACACAGAGGGAAGGTTTAGGATGATTTTGAGGCTTATAAAGAATTATTCTTATATAGTTCCCCACAGTGAAGTATTCTTTTCAGCCCCCTGCCTGTGGTTCCCCCTCAAAATGCCAATCATGATTAATACAAACCACTGCCATCTGTGTGTCACTGGTATTCTATGTGATGGACAGAGGTACTTGGGAAAAACATGTGGCACTGCTAGGACTGGCCTTTTCCCCCATTTAATAGAGGCTGGCATTTTTTATTGTTCTGAGTGCATTGCAAAATTGCATAGATATGAAAAAATGGCCTCTCGCTGCAGCTTGTTAAAAAAGCAATTATAGAAGCTGCACAATAGTCATTGTGAAGCATGTTCTCTTATTGGTGTCATGGCTTTCATTTTACTCAATTTGTCCCAAATGTCATTGGTTTATGTGTGTGCGTAAATGGGAAAGTGTAAGAGCAAGTAAAGGGACAAGGAGGATGAGAGTAACAGATAGGATGGTGGATTAATGTTTTATTAAAAACGTGCTGGCATATTTTCCACATTTTTCAGAAGGTTATTATTATTAGAAGTTGGTAACCAGATGAAAATGCATCTCTTGTGTTAAAAGGGGTGATGATATGCATGTAAACTGTGCATCTAAGTCTAATTCAAACATTTTATGTATTTTAAATAAGGGAGGCTTCACATTACAATTACTACTACAGCTGTTGTACCCTAAAGTGTCATAAAAAATATTCATATCCCTTAAACTTTTTCACATTTTATCACATTAAAGTCAGGAAGTTTAATGTGTTTCATTAATACTTTATCTGATAGAACTCACATGAAGTTGTGAAGATTGTTAAACACAATACACATAATGCAGATGTTTTTTTTGTTTTCTGAAAAAAAAAAATAAGCTGAGGTTTGGTATGTGAACTGTCCGCATTTAGCCGTCCCAAAGCAACACTTTGTAGAACTACGTTTTTGGGGCTATTTCAGTTTTTTATTAGGTGCATGTACAGTAATTACCAGTATAACACAAACACCAAGACAGCCTGAAACAAACACAAACAAAACCTGAACATTTTTCTTTTTTTTCCAAATAGCTTTTGCTCAGTTAATTTAGTTCGAAAGCAAATGTCAACACCAAGATCTGTCTTGTTGCAGATTCTCAGTTGGATTTAGGTTAGGGCTTTTAGTTCTGATGTTATCTTTAGAGACATTAATATTCTAAACAAGCATGATGCTGCCATCCTAACGATTCATTGTGAGGACGTTTAGTTTAGTCTCATACAAGAGTATTTTATCTTAATCTTCATTCATCATGTCCCCTAAAAAATGGACCACTTCTAAGCTATTTAAACATGACCTTCATACCAATTTTCCATAAATACCAGAGTTCAACATAGCAAGATTACTGTAAGTAGGTGTGTCAAAAGATTCCAACCTGAATCTTTGCAGCTTCTTGGAACCAGTCATACTTATTATAAGAAGCATCTCTGTGAAAGGCCAGCACCTGATATATCATATTGTAAATGTAATATCTCCACATATCTTGTTGTGATGTGCTTTGTAAAATGTGATGTCAGCTTTACTAAAAATAGTAATTTACAGAGAGAAGATGAGCACTGATGAATAGTGTGAATCGCTGCTTTGTTTTCCAGATATGAATAGCGTGCATTTTTCACATTCATGCTTGTGTTTGTATGACAGCTCCTTCCCCTTCCTTTCTAGGTAACGAGGAAGCTGGTGAAGAAGAGGATAAGCATAAGGGTAATGCAGCTCCACGGACCATTAAAACATGTTCTCAATCTCTCTCTGCTCCACCAATGCTTCTTGATGTCATTTGTCATCAAAATTTGAATTTTATATTCGTCTCCGCTCAGCCTTTCCTTCCTGTACAACACAAAAAAAACTTCTCTTATCACACACGCTTGGAACAAAGAAATCTCTCAATTATGTATGTCTTTAGAAGTGACATTCTTTCTCTTTTCCTTTTTTTGTCTCTTAATTTATGCATGTCTTTGTGGTTCCATTGCTCTCATACTGCAGTACAAAGACAAAGCTGTACAAAGAGTTAGAATGAAAAAGGCTTTTTGAGGTGATATAGAAAACCGAGTCATTTCGACTCGGCTTTCCATTCTCCAGCATGAATGTTTTCTCTTCACTTGAATTCTCTTTCTGTTTTGTAGGACAGCAAGATGTAGAGATGGAGAGTCAAACAGGTATAGCACACTTTGGATTTCAATTTCCAGGATAAACGGAGGGTTTGATTAAATGTGATCATCTTGAGTGTAGATTTCCACCTCACTACCTATCACACCCTAAATTAGCATGTGGAAATGCTTTGTTTCTCTTTTGGAATCTGAGACAGGGCAAATTTACTTGGTGTATCTTTCTGTTTTTGTTTCTTTTCTTTTAGGCTTATTTAGCGTGAACTATAAAGCTATTGCATAGTTTAGTTAGAATGAAAAAAATAAAGTGTGATCATAATGCAAATCCCCAAATGGATCAGTGTAGAACATTGCAAAGCTCATTTGTTATTTATTGCACTTACACTAGAAGCTGTTAGTGAGGGCAGTAAGTATATAAGTTTATCTGTGTATTTTTCTTTTGGCACATATGCAACATTAACTTTGAGCCAGAACCGTTTTCTTTTGCGAATATCCTCTGTGCTGCTGGTATATAATTAAGATTCGGCATTTGCATACTGGCAGCGAGCAGTGCCTCATATCTCGTCTGTTTTTGTTTTATTCAAATCCCATGCCATTGACAGTGATTTGACAGATAGAGATTCTCTCTGCATGAATTTTGGAGGCATTCTGTGAGCAAGTTTTAGCAAATGCCGCCCCGGGATGCAATCCAATATCTAGGATGTGTAATTACCTTCTCATGAGACACAAACAGGGAGTTAAGAGCAAAAAAGACCAGCGGAATAATTTAACTGAAATTTCTATATATAGTGTTTTTAAGAAGATAACTGTTCCCTTTCTACTTTTAAAACATTTTGTGTCATTTGAGCCTCTACTTTTTATTTGGTATTTTTCATTCCGTCTGAAACTGAATAATCATGATAAATTCATTCTTGAAATAATTGTCAATTCAATTAATTTGATTTATATACCACCAATTCACAACACATGTCATCCTAAGGCACTTTCAGTTCACCTGATCATACCAGATCATCGTCAAATTGATTCAAAGTTTTCTAGGGAAAACCAGTTGATTGCATCGACTCATTGACTCGAAGCCAATCTCTCAAACTAAGCATGCTTGTAGCGACAGCAGAGAGGAAAAACTCCTTTTTAACAGGAGTGGCCATCTGCCGAGGCCGACTGGGGTTCAACGAGTAAGAAGCAGAGATAGAAAAGGAAACTGTAAAAGTCTGCCCCGTCCAGGAAACACTGACTTAGTAATCGATTAATCATTAACCGGAGTATAGAGACTTTTAAAACATGCCTGTAGCTGACAGTGCAACCCACTTAGACCAGTAATAATGTCAAGATGGAAAAAATATGTATATATTTTGCATTTAAGATAAAAAAAATAAAAAGAAATCTGTATCAATATGATCTATCCAGAACTCTGAAAGTAAGAAAGTTTTAGTTTTAATTGGGTTAATTTTGTAAAAAGTCTTCTTTAAGAAACTTTTGGCTACTGATACTTGATTAGTAATTGATTAACTGAAAAAAAAAATATCGACAGATTAATTGATTTGAGAATTAATCATTAGTTGCAGCTAAGGTGCTACATATCCTAAAACCAAAAATGCGTATCTTTAAATTGTTATATGCAATTGTATTTCTGACAGTCAGTGATTGGTAGAATCACCTGTCTCTGCAATTTTGGTCCTAACTTGGACTGAGCCATTTTAACATATCAATATCAATATCCAAGTTTAGCTAAGGTTGTATGTTCAGGGTTGTTGCCCTGCTACAAGGTGAAATATTCAATTCTATTAAAGCTAAAAGAGCCCTGTGAGAGCACAGACCTCTGCTAAGCAGCACATTTTGCCCTATATTGTGACTTACTGTACACCTATAGGTTACAAGCACACAAGATTTGGATCATTACAAATCTTAATTCATTGTTCCTTGGCGTGTGGTGCATGACTGCCCTGTATTTGGTATAATCTGTCTTTACAGCAAATACATGCCCTGTCTATGGATTCCTTTTCCTGAACTGGTGATTTCTTTAGCTCTTTCAGAGCTAATGTGGACATCTTGGTAGATTCTCCCTTATCCTCCTTTACCAGCTTGTAGCATTAGGTAGACAGCCATGTCTTTGTAGTTTTTCAGTTGTTGTCAACCTGCTTTAGCTTTCCAAACTTGGACTGAGCACCTTAACCATATTTTACCTACTCACAATAAGGGAAAACACTCATTTTAAGAAATGTTTCCTTACTTTCATATTGTTTTTGCTTTGTATAACCTGTAACTGATTTAACCCTTTACTGATATTACAGCAGTTGATGCAAGAACGCTGACTTTTAAAACATGTAATCCTGCTGCAAGGACTTTTTTTTTCTTGTACGTCAACCTCTATTTTAACAAAAAAAAGCACAATGTTTCTGTAAAAGTGTGTCAGAGGGATATGTCAGCATTAATGGAGTGTGAGCTTGGGGTTCTGTCACATGTTGAAAGATTTTATGTGAAAGTTTTAACACTGGCAAGCCTGATTTAATCATTAATACTTGCTTCTTTTTACAGTATTTATCTATCATTCCAATAATTAAAACTCCGTTCTTTTATTTATTTATTATTCCTATGTATTCGTCCCCTAGAGGAAAATCCTACTAATATGGATCCGGAGGAAAACCAAAATGTGGATGACCAAGTAAAGCACGATGAAGACCAGAATATGTCCACCGACAGCAAAGAAGACGTCGATAAAGACAAAGAATCCAGCAAAGATAACGATGAGAACAAAGGTATACTTCCAACTGGAGCTTTGGAAAACCAGATAGTTTTACAATATTTGCTTCTTTCTTCAGGGCACCTAACAGATGATCTACTAAAACAAACAGATGGTTTAGCTGTTCTTTGAAGGCTTGAGCTGATGTGATGCACACGTCACAAATTTGACAACATATTTTCTTTGTTTCCAGCAGAGCCAGAGCAACCTAAAGAAAAAAACAATGAAGAACCACCAAATGACACGATGGAGACAGATGGTAGGATTGGATTTCTTTCTTAATTTAATCTCCTTTTATGTTAATTTGTTGGCAGTTTAAATGTAAGACTTTTTGTGTTAAGTTTCATTTTCATTTTGACATACTTCTTCACCCACGTGCTACGAAATACAAAACATACAAAGAGTCTGAGGTGGCAAAAAAGTGGGCTGGAAGAAAGACAACAAATTTCACAGAATAATGTAAACCCTTAAAATGTTCCTTTCTATTCTATGTAATGTGCTCATAATACATGTTTTTATTGCTATTTAATAACAGAGCAGAATCATTCTAGAAAAGAAATTAAAATCCTAATTGTAATTTGGTCTGTATGGTGCTAAAATGGTTTAGACAAAAGAAAATGGGGGGCCTCCAGCTGTGGAGGAGCTTCTATAGTCTTCTTTACTGAACCATTTCACTGGATTTAAGCATAAAGAGAGGGATCTTAGATTATTCCTCTCTGCTCAAACTCTCTATATATCCTCAGGTTCCTCTCTTATGTAGGCTATTCTTTATTTCCACATAAAATAATTTTATACTTCTTGCTTTTTAAAAACTAAATAGAACAGAATTTCTGGTTCCCTCGGTTATTTATCATTACCAGTAGATATCAATAATTGAACTGGACTTCTTTTTGGTTGTTATTTTGGGTCTGCATTGGTTTTTGCATTGGAACTCCCCCATTAATCCCATTTTTTACCAGTCTGTTTTTGTTGTCAGATCATGACAATGACTTAAACTGAAACAAATAAGACCTGCTCTGCCTTAGAGTTTCTTGATTCCTTTGTCCTGGATAAGATATCAATGAACTCGTTGGGTCTTTCTCGTCAACCAGTCTGTATTATAAAGGTTTTAAAGTGTTCCATGTTTTTTCCTTTGGTCGTTAACAGCCCTCGTGTTTTTCCCCAAATCCAAAACATGTTTTTTAACCATTAATTAGCTTGCATAACAACCGATTGTTTTAAAAGTACTACTGAATTTCAAATGTGTTGATTATATTTTTTCATGGTGCCAAGTGGTTTGAAAAGCTTCTCCGAATTTAAGATGAAATTTCACATCATGATTTTCACTTTAATTCATATGATATTGAAATTGATCCTTACTCATGATTATTGGTAAAGATCAAACTGCAAGTCAGAAATAGGTTTCTTTTCCTAATGTTTTATGCTTTATTTCCAAAAAAATAATTCCACTGATTAAATTTCTAATATATTTTGTTATGTAATTAACTATAAAGTTTGCAAAGGTTTGGTAGCATTACACTGTCCTTCCCATTTTAAAGAAGCAACTTAATGATGTGTTTTTTCTCACTAATATAAACATTTCTGTTCTTATATAAAAGTAATAATACAACACAACAGCATTAGGTCTGCCCTGAGTTAATAATGTTTTTGTTTTTTAAGCTTTATCATGTTTAATGTCTTTCGTCATCTGATCCCTTCACAGTGTTGTGTGTATAGCCGAGTTTTATTATAAATTATTTGTCTTTGCCACAAAGTCCAACAGTGTGTAACAAATTTGACTCAGGTAATAACTTTGTCCATTAGTGTGGAATTTAGGCAAAATAAATGGCTAATGACTGAATCCTACAAAGGTTTCATTCTACAAAGTTGTTACTGATAGAGTGATTCAGAAAATATCAAGTAATTAGGGTCAGAAAATCTAATCTTATTTGTCCATGCTCTTGAAAGCCGGCTTTGTTGTAAGAGCATCTCTGTCGAGGTTTTAGTTTTTGACCACACATCAATTTATATTTACAACCAAATTTAGGTGGCACCTCACTTCTTAAGTGAATTCTCCCGAGCTTTAAAGGTTTGAATTTTAAATCCCGTCTGCCCATCTTCCACCTCTACTCTAATACAAAGGTATGAGTCACATTCTCACCTCGGTTTCACTTTCCCTTTTGACTGACATTCAATTAATTTGGGGAAAGAGTGAGCAGTCCTGATGGAGCTGAGATAGCCCTCTCTTTCCTCTGTGAAAAGCTAGCAGAATATATCCTTACTCACACTACAGATTTTCTTTCCCTGAAATGCGTCACTCCATCCTGTTGAGTGTCTAGGCTGAGCCTGCCACTATCTGTCACTGTCTTGCATACCATGAGCTGTGTACTGTTTGGCAGGACTGTCAGGCAGTAAACAGTGGTGTCAGCTCTGATTGGAAGCAGATTGCATTTTGTATAGAAAAGAAGGGGCCTCGGTCAGACTGCTGCCTAAAGTGTTTCAGATAATAATGTTTATGCAGCCCAATAGAGAACAGCTTAGCCATGCGCAACAAGCTATTCAGCCTAAAAGAGAACAGCTTAGCCATGTGCAACCAGCTATTCACGGGACAAGACCAAATGATTCCAGGGCCAATACCTTTTATTAAAAATAATAACTGTAATCAGGCTGCCAACACACGGCTGTAGAAGTTAAATCTACCTCATTGAAAGCAGTTATAAAATCCTTCGCAGTGGGAAGAGGAATTAATAAGAAATCAAGCAGAATATGACCTCACTAAGATCATTCACAGTATAAATTATCATCATTATGGACTTACAATTAATTGGTTCGTTTTTATGCCTACAAACATGTTTCTTGTCTGGGGATTGAGTTGGAAGTAGATGAGTGCTGTGTTGGAGTTCTTGAATACTCTGGTTTGAAATGAGCAAAAAACGAAATAAAACATTACCCTTCTACCCTAAACAATTATTAAAGGCAGAGTTCAGGGTTTTCCAAGTGAGATTAAATAGAAAATATATAACAAGTTAATATTGTTCCTACATTAGATAATTCACTTACAAATGCATTAGTGTATGGTTGAATAAATATAGTTTATTAGAGACCAAAGCCCACAGCTTATTGATTTTATTTACATTGAAGAATGATTGTTCACACTGAAAATGGATGATAGATGCAGTAACACATCAATGCTCTGCCTGAGTGAAACATTTATTTATGTTATTTCTCAAGCTTTTCACTCAGTTAACTGTTTGATGTGATTAAATGATAATGCAAGTTCAAATACATTATGGTTTTGCAACTCAACAATATTTCATCGTCTATTAGTAGAGTTGCATTACATTTCGTATTATCATGATTAACATATACAAATTAGAAAGTTGTCTTTGTCGGCGGATTGTGCTGTCCTCAACCTTTTCCCAAGAAGGAAGGAGCAACAGTCAGATTTACAGCAGATTACGCTCCAAACAGCTGGAGTTATCTCCACCAGCTCTTCTCAACAACCAATTAATTAAATATACTGCAAAAACAAAGTAGACCCCTAATAATTAAAATAAAAATAAATAACTATGCTTCTCTATGTTTAACTTGTGCAGCAAGTAAGAGATGCAAACTTTCAAGTATCAGGTTTCTGGAAGTTGTTTGAAAACAAGACTGCTCCATTATGGACAAATGAAGTAAAACAGCAGATTAGGATTCATCATAGGATTTATATTTAGCCAAGTCTAAACTTATTTGAGAAAGCATAAAGAGGAGCTATGTAATCACTAGTGTGTAAAAACCTGACTCGTGTCACATGGAGCTTTGAGGCAATTACATTTCTTAAATGTCTTTATTTTTACTGCTTTGACAGGCTGTGCGGGCACAATGCAACATTTTATACACTTCATTGTTTGTTTGTCTTAAAATTGGTGTTTCCTGATTTTGTGTGTATTGTATGTTTTATGCCTAAAGTAAGTAGAGACATGATTTTTCTCCAGACAATCCAACCAAACAAGCCATCCAGGCCTTCTTTAAGCTATACATCAACAATCATAGATGTATGTAACATAGAAATACAAGTTAGTCTGAAATGTGGATGTTAGGGTTGTTTTATTTTACTGGAAGTCTGTCCTTGGTGTATATTTGCCAAAGACTTCACTTAGTGAGAAAAAAAACAAAAAGACATCTAAGGTTTTTATTTATGTTTTTTTCCCCCCATAAATGAATTCAAACACTATTTCGTTTTACATTATCAGTAATGCTAACAATTTTAGAAACAGCTGTTTTATAAATATGGTGTTTTACCATGTATTGAATGCAAATAGTGAACTATTTATCTTTATATTAAACATTTTTAACTGGCATGTTAATTCCAGCATTTCCATTTTTATGCCATTTGTCACATCAACACCATAGTTAAACATTATCCTCTTTTTCTAGTGTTACAACCACAACCTTGTTTTTTATTTTTTAGAAAAAAATACATTTAGGTCTTCACTTGATTGGTTGGAAGATGTTTAGAACAAGATGTCCTATGATCTGAAATCTAGCGTTGTAGATCTGGCTGTATGTTAAGTCCCAGTCTGTCTTTTTCAGCCTACAACACACATTTTCTTTCAGGATGCCCTACATATAGCTCACCAGTTTTCTCATCTACTTTGACAAGATTCTCTGTCCCTGTTGAACAAGAAACATCTCTATAGCATAATGCTGGTAACAAGAATTGTGATTGTAATGTTATTTTCTTTGCATTTAAACAGAAACCCTTAAAACAGCGTCCCCTACATGGTTTGCAGCAAACTACAAACTGGGCTTTAAATAGGTTTCCTTTAACAATAGTTTTCATCCTGCCATAATTCCAGTAAGGCTAGATTGGTGGAGTGCATGCCTAATTGTTCTCTGTGCAGATAATCTCCTACAGGAGCTCTGAATATTTGCAGCTTCTCCAAACGTTCCATGTGGCTGGAAGGCCAAGTTTTAAGAGTTGTCAAATGGTCTATACTCTCTCCACTTCTAGAAGATATAACAACCTTGCTTTATATGATGTTCAAAGCTTGGGTTATAGTTTCCTCTTCTAACTCTTCTTTAAACTTTATCACCAAACTATTTATTGTGTTTCTGCATATTTAAGATACTGTTTAATCTTTCACATTATCAAACAAACTTCTAAAGCCTTTCAGAACGACTGTATTTATACAGAGATTAAGCGACCCACATATAACTTCTGTTTAGTAACTCTTCCACTTACAAGGCAGTTGGTTAGCCTGTTTTTTTTTTTTTTTATACAGGGTATCAGAG